GGTACTCTCTCTCTCTCTCTCTCTCTCTCTCTCTCTCTCTCTCTATTGGAGACCTATCTCTTTCTTGGTGATCTCCTCCCATGATCCCAAAGGGGTGACCCAGAAGGGTAAGTATTATGGCCTCCTTGATATTTTTTTACAGCGATCACTAGGGTTTCTTTCTTGCTCCCCAAGAAAAATTAAATTTCTTTTTACCAAAATACCCTTAAAACATAGGTGTGGTGATTTAGCTATCACCATACCTAACACAAGGCATTAGTAATTCATTAGTTAATGTGATTCTTGTTTTTTTGTGATCCATTTGTTCTTGGCATTGCTGATATTATTTTTTTCTTCATTTAATTGGTTTTTAGTTGATTGTATAATTTCATGTTTATTAAATTATAGTCTCGTAAGATAAATTTGTTGTGATGCTAACTGCGCTTGATGCTTTATGCTATTTCTGTCCCATAAACTAATCAAGCGGTGGAGAAAGGAGTGCTATTATTGCATGTAATTTGGAGTTTAGAATGTTATTTGCATGTTCAATTCATTTAGATGTTGATCATGGTTTCATGATGCTATTGTGACATGAACCAGCACACAGGCCCCATCCAAATTGCTTCCCATCCTGACTACCTTCGCTATATTTGGTTGGACGTCTGTCCATGGGTGCACATTTTCACACTTATTGATTATGATATCATTGTTCTGTGCAAGGTTGTTATAATCATGTAGATTATCAATCTCCATTTATGCATGTGCAACCTTAGTGTTTTCAATGTATATCGCTGAGGGATTATTTTTTACCATGTCATGTGAGGCTTGGCATTAATATTGTCTATGGTGCATTTTGTATTCTTTAACAGGTTGAAGTATGTCGAGCAAGAGTTGGCCAAGAAGCGTGGAAAGAACATTGAAACCACCAATCAAACTGAGAATGAAAACAAACGAGCAGAGGACGAACTGTACATGATTCCTGAGCATCTCAAGGTAGAATTATGATATTGTGGTGGATCTTTACGATTATTATGAATGCTTAGTTTCATAAAATTTATTATGTTTATAGCTGCAAAGCTTTACTTTCTCTCTCGCTCTTTTTTTTTTTTAAATTTCATTTCTTTATTTTTTTGGTACTGACGACATTATTAGTCAGTTGGTTTTTTGTCGGCAATATTAGTCAGTAGGGTATTTGAGACACCCTAGTCACCTATTATGTAAGATGATCTGTTCATGTCATTGGGTAGTGCATGGGCCATTTATGTCAGATTATAATAAGAAATATGCTTCATTCTGGAGTGTTTTCATGTGTATTTTTTCGTATATTCTTTTCTTGATACTTGTTTCTGATGGTTTAGGAGGCCATTATTTGCAAATTACTTGGAGAATAATGTTAGTCTTTGTACGTTTATGAATTTCAGCTTAAAAAAGGAATATGGTTTAGAAGGCCATTATTCGCAAATTACATGGAGAATAATGTTAGTCTATCCGTTTCTGAATTTCAGCTTAAAAAAATGAATAACTATTTCTGATTGGAAGTTTGCATGTATGCCTCAATCCACCGTATCTTGTCTATTTGATCTTGCAGTACGTACAGCTAGATGTCCTAATGCTGTCCAAACTTTTAAAATCTATCACTTTTGTTCTAAAATGTAGGTTAAGTAATTTGGCCATATTTTTATTTTATGCATAGAATGAACTTATAAAAGGATGAAACTAAAGGATCAAGGTGTTTCTCATTGTTTCCTACGCCATGGTTTTTTAATCTCTATATCACAATTTTGATGTTCTGTTTCAGGTGAAGAGGCGGAATTCAGAAGAAAGTTCTACTCAGTGGACCACTGGAATCGCTGAAGTGCAGTTGCCTATTGAGTATGCAGTTATTCTTGTCATTCCTACCCTTGTGCTTAAGAATGTTTGCAAATGCTCAAGAGATAGGATTGAGTTAATTACCTTTCTTCTTTTTGGTTTGCAACCCCTTATGACAGTGTCATGCATTACATGGCCTAAACCATTTAAGTTGCATGATACTGCAAACATTGAATATCAGCAATTTGTGGTGGAGGCCTGAGGAATAAATTGATATCGCAATCAATCTCAGGCTTTTAAGTATAGATATCTAAGGGCCAATTTATGAGTAATCGGTCATCAGAATTCAAAAAACTAGAACTGAAAGGAAGTTATGGAGTGAAATATGTACATTTCTAGAGCCTTTGATGTACCAGCTCTTGAAGAATATTGGGGGTAAAAAAAAAAAAAATTGCAAGAGAATAAAGGTCTATCTACTATGGAGAGACAGTGCATGAGCTTTTGATAGTGGTTGCTATATTAATTAGTTCTACTATTGGCTGTAACAATTTAATCTAGAGGTACATTTATTGTTATCTACAACATCATGTGATGCCAGGGAAAAGGAAAAAAAGGAAAATATGAGCGAGGTCCTTTTCTGTATGAAGTAACTGTTAGTTTTCTTATTTCTTTGAAGTTTGGGTGGCATTTTTGATTGATTGTAAACAATTGCAATATTTTCCTTGTGAAGCCAAACAAACATATTGGCTTTTCTTTTCTTCATATACATATATATTTATAGTTAGTGGTAGTAATGCATTTCCAGGAACCATTGGAGTTCTCTTAATTACTCTCGAGTTCTTTGATCCTTCTTAATTAAAATACATTGTGCACGACTTGTTTATTTCTTAATCATAGAAGAGAAGAAAATATTGATTTGAATAATCTTCTTGTTGTATCTTAGGTACAAGTTAAGAAATATTGAGGAAACTGAGGCTGCCAAGAAACTGTTACAGGATAAACGGTTTGTAGGCCGGGCAAGGCCAGAAGTCAGCATCCCTTCCAGTTACAGTGCTGACTACTTTCAGCGTGGAAGAGATTATGCTGAGAAACTTCGCCAGGGTATGTGCAAATGTGCCTTTGTTTATCTCTTTTCTTTGTTATTTATTTTCCACTTTGTTTTGTTCTCTTACTACTGGCCATGTTTGAAAGGAAGATTTAATCTACTTTTGATTAATTTAGATCTTGGAAATGCTTTCCTGCTTTATAGCTCATCCAAAATATTCTTTAATGTGCAAATCTAATTTTGGAGATACCATCAGTTGGTTTTAAGTTCCACAGACTAATGCGCAACTTACAGCTATAAATAAAAGTAATTGTGAAACTATGATTATAATTGCTGATCCTTGCTGTAATTAAGAAAAATTAGTACACTCATTTGTTCGTTTATCAGGAGGAATCTGTTCAAATTTAGGCATTTTCATAGAAAAAACTTGGGATTGGATATTTGGGTTGCTTTTTGTTATTTTTCATGGAACGGTGAATATTCTTATCTATCTTCACTGGTGCAATTTCCTGGCACATCCCTCAACACTAGTTATTGTATTGAATGAGTTTTAATATATATTTTTGAATGATATGTTCGATGTTATTGAGGTGCTTAGGTATGGAGCATGCAGCTATCAATCCTGAGGTCTTGTTAAAATCCTGAGATTACCTAATAAAAAAAAGGAAAAGCTCTCTCTCTCTCTCTCTCTCTCTCTCTCACACACACACACACACACAAACAAAAATGAAAAGAATTAGTCTATCTCACTTTATCGTCCTCGAGTTTTTTATTCTGGGGCATTTTCATTTTTTTCGGTGCCATTTGGGAAATTATGAGACACCATAATTCATGGTTTCTCTGTAAATTATTATTCTACATGATCTTATAAAATATCCTTCAAACTTTCTCTTGGGTCACAGAGCACCCGGAGCTTTACAAAGATAAAAGTGCACGTGATAGCAACAATGGATCAAAACCAACTGAGGGCAGTTTGTTAGGAGAAGGAGGGAGGAGGCAAGCTGCAACAGACGAATTCATGCTTGAGCGATTTCGAAAGCGTGAGAGGAACCGAGTCATGCGTAGATAAGATGAAGATCAAGCAAAATGAATCTCTTGTGAATTAATTGATTGAACATGATTCCCCATTTCCTTCTCATTACTTCCTGTATTTTTTTTTCTCCTTTGGCGTGAGAAAGGAGACCGTATTCCTCTTGAGCATGGTTTATGGTGCTTTATAGATCAATTGTATGTTCATGATAAGCTATGGAAATTAAGCGCGGCCCACCACACTCGATCTCCACTGTCCATTGACAGGAATGGATGTTGGAGCATGAGACAAGTCAAAATTATGTACTGAATAAAAAGAAAAAGTAGATTCCTGTGCTCAGGAACCAATAACGAGTTGACGCCTGCTCCCAACCTTAAATTATAAAAAGAAAATATTTTTTTTGGATTTTATTTATTTTTGGGAGTTAACGCTTGCTCCCAACCTTAAACATGAAAATATTTTTTTTTTGGATTTTATTTTCTTCAGAAACATTCGGCATTGCACTGTCCCTTTATAAAAATTAGAAGTTTCAGCATCTGCCCATCTCTCTCTCTCTCTCTTGAAAGTTCAAAGAAGTGTCCTTTTATGGCATCTTTATTTCTTGCAAAGCATTGCAATTTGCAAATAATATTCTATGCTTTTGGATCTTCTTGCCCACTAAAACAACATAGGGCCAATAATACACAATCCCAACAAAGAACTAAACATAAAAATAAAAAAAAGTGCTTACAGCGAGGGGCAAAGAGAGAGAAGCCCCAAGTGAGGCAGAGAGTATACAGGACTACTATTTTGATGGATGCGCTAGGTGGAGGAAGAATAGCTCTATGGGGTGATTCTTCCTTTAGCACCATTGTAGCTCTAGTTTTATGAGGGCCATATTTTTATAACTTGTATAAATTTCGAAATTGCAATGGTGATTATTATGATTTTCTTTTGTTTTAAGAATTAAGGTTATGGTTTGTATAAGGTTACAATCTTAAACTATGAGAGGCGCACTTACAAATTTTATCATAAGACGTAATTTTGGTGTAAAAAATTCATAAGAATGGCTTGAGAGTCTATTTTTTTTTTTTATCATAAATTTTAAACTCCAAAAATGGTTCAAATCAAATAGATCTATAAACACATGAAAATCTTAAACATGGACGGTTTAGATAATGCGTTGTAAAATGCATTATTTTTGGAACTCAAAATCTTTTTTTTTGGTTTTTTTTCATATCCATATAGCAATGTCGAGATGATCATAGAGAGTTTTTCGACATCAAAACAACTTTTTTCTGATGAATTTTTGAGCTGCACTTTAATTCTGTAATTTAAGGTTTCAACCTTATATAAAATTTTTCCGTTAAGTAATTAGGTACTTTTGATGCAAATCTTTTCCATTCATCCCTCTCTCTCTCTCGGCCCGTCTCGTGTGGTTTTGATTCTGTTGCCTGGTTGAAATTTTACTTTGCCTACCCAAAAACAAAATTGTCTTGGTTCCATAGTAAAATATAGGCAAAAGGATGTCTCCTTATTTTTCATTTTAAAGTTTTATTGGTAAGGTATTTTGATTTCCAATCGAGCGACAAATTAAGGGGAAAAGGGTCCTGTGGCCTGAAAAATTCAAAAACAAAGAAAAAAAAAAAACAAAGTGTGAAATTGAACTTTGTTTTTGTTTTAAGTAAAAACATAATAATTGCAGGTTTTTGGAAAAGACTTTGATGATGTTGATGGGTCCCGAATATAAATTCAGAATAGTTGTAGGTGGTCGTCCGACTCACCAAACACCAATTTAAGATTAATTGTTGTTTTTCTTTATTTTATCTATTTTTATAAATAGTTAAGGAACCCTTATCCTACCCTCACATTTACCAACGACTTTGAAGAATAGAAATTAAATTAGAGCCAACTAGGATGGCTTTTAAAAATAGCATAAAATCTAAAGTTTCTTTAATAGTTTATTTTTTCCAATAAAAGTATAGAATACATTCTAAAAATTACCCTGTAATAGGTAGCTACTAATTTGAATGATAGGAGATTATAAATTACCCCACTCATGAGAGAGAGAAGACACCAATTTTTAGAGAGAGAAAGAAGAGATGGGGCATGGTGGGGTGTTGTTTATGAGGTTGATTGTGGTGTTGATTTGGTGTGGGGTCCTGTTGGCCACTCCCTCTATTGCTTCTACTCGTTCTATGGGGAAATTCTTGAGCACGGACCCTTGTGCCCAACCAGGGTCAACGAACCCAGGCTGCGTCCCACCCAGTTGGACTGGTATGGGTCCACCAGCCAACAGGTATACCCGCCCATGCACAAAGGCCAATGGTTGCCAAAGGGACATTAGTGGGCATCCAGGAAACTAGCTTCTCTCTCTCTAGGAAAACATGACTAGCTCTCTTTCTTTCTCTAGGAAATCATCACTAGCTCTCTTTCTTTCTCTAGGAAATCATCACACTCTCTCTCTCTCTCTAAAGCTTCATCGGTCTGGCATTATGAGCCTCTCATGCATAACTGCTTTTATTTATTGGAGCTTTTTTTTTTTTTAAGTGATGAATGATGATAAATAAAGAGATTTTGTTAATAGTTATTGTTTCTTACCGAGGTTTCTTTTATTGCCGTGGATGTTACGTGTGCGATGGACGAAGAGAGATGGTATGCATGTAGGGTGGCAAGACGGAACCGAATGGTGTGGGGGTCCAAAATTGGGACTTGGATCCAGACCCGTCATGTTCCGGATCTACGCCATGACTATGAGTTTATTTATGTATTTTTTGTCCCTTTTTTACC